GGGCACTGACCCGACTGACCCGTGGGACACTCTGACCCCCATGGAGGACTCTGACCCGTGGAGGGCTCTGACCCGTGGAGGACACTGACCCGTGGAGGGCACTGACCCGTGGAGGACACTCTGACCCGTGGAGGACACTCTGACCCGTGGAGGGCACTGACCCGTGGAGGACACTCTGACCCGTGGAGGGCACTGACCCGTGGAGGACACTCTGACCCGTGGAGGACACTCTGACCCGTGGAGGACACTCTGACCCGTGGAGGACACTCTGACCCATGGAGGACTCTGACCCGTGGAGGACACTCTGACCCACGCACAGAGACGGAGGGATGAGGGACTGAGACACGTTGGCAGAAGGAAGAATGGAGAGAAAAATGTGGAAATACTCCCATAGATAAAATGTTACCTCTCATTTATCATATATGAAGAATTAAGTTGCAGAAATTGATTAAAGCCAATCTTAAAATGATGAAGCAAACGCCTGTTTGAGACTCCTCAGTGCACACACACACACGTTGTCTTAATGTTATGAAACGTATTCTCAGAAATGGTGTGTGTGTGTGTGTGTGTGTGTGTGTGTGTGTGTGTGTGTGTGTGTGAGAGAGAGACCCCAGACCCCGTGTTTTGAGTGCACTGATAGTAAGCATTTCCTCTGCTCAGGAGCCGCTGCTCTGTGTGTGATGGATGGGTCCTGGGTCTGGATCCAGGGTGTGGGTCTAGGTGTGGGTGTGGGTCTGTGTCCAGGGTCTGCGTCTGGGTCCAGGGTCTGCGTCTGGGTCCAGGGTCTGGGTCTGCGTCTGGGTCCAGGGTCTGGGTGTGGGTCTGGGTCTTTCTGTCCCAGCCCTGCAGGGTGTTAAAGGGAGTTACCGCTCACAGCATCTCATCTGATATTTATTTGGGTATTTATTTATTGTTGTTCATTTCATTGTGAGTGATTTAGAATGTGAGTGAGGGGTCTGGTTCCCCTCAAAAGCACCCGTTTGCTGCGCTGGGTCCTGGTGGAGAGCTGCCAACTGAAAACACACCTGTCTCTGTTCACCTGGAGATTACTTTAGAGACAAAGAAATAAAGCATTTTATAAAGTTAGCCTTGTCACTAATTGCAATGGTAGGACCTGCTTAACATGATGTCCCTCTGGTTCTGCTCTTTAGTCGCTTTGGATAGAAGCCTCAGCTCAATGTAGTGTCTGCTCCCCTCCGACAGGGGGCGGTACTGCTCCTTCAAGCTGGATGCCACTCACAATACAACTGGAAGAAGAAGAAGTCCTTCCTGTGAGCCGTTAGCCTGTTAGCTCCTCCGTCATGGCGGACCTGAACCGGCAGTTGCAGGAGTATCTGTCCCAGAGTAAGGAGCCTAAAGGCGGCGCAGCGCGGGGCGGCACTGCGGTGGAGCTGCCGGAGGACCCGGTCCCGGGGAGCTGGTTCGGCCGCTGGTCCAGCCGCTGGTCCGGCAGCACGTCGGGCCCGGGCTCCAGCTCCAGCAGCGGTGTTTCCTGGCCCTGGGCCCCGGAGCCGGACGCCTGCCTGCCGGGTCTGACGCGCGGCCAGAGGCTGGTCGGCGCCGCGCTGTTCGCCGCGCTCTCTGCGCTCTGCTTCGCGCTCTCCGCGCTCTATGCGCCGCTGCTGCTGCTCTACGCACGGAAGTTCGCGCTGCTGTGGTCGCTTGGCTCTCTGTTTGCCATCGCGTCCGCGGCAGTGCTGCGCGGCCCCGCCAGGCTGTTCGCGGGGCTGCGCTCCTCCCCCGCGTTTGCCGTGTACCTGTGCGCGCTGGGCGGCACTCTGTACGCGGCGCTGCACCTGCACAGCACCGCGCTCACCGCCCTGGGTGCCGCGCTGCAGGTCGCCGTCATCGCGGTGAGCGTTGTGTCGCTCGTGCCGGGCGGCAGCGCGGGGATGCGTTTCATGAGCGGCGCGGCGGCGGCAGCGATCAAAAGGACAGTGAGCGGGAAGAGCCTTCCGATCTGACGGGAGAACTGATGAGGACCAAAGACTGTTTGAGAGAAACTTGATTCCTGATGCAGGAGTAAACTTTGACGTCACGCAGGTGTGCCCTGTCTCTCCTGCAGGAGCTCTGACTCTGAATGTAAACACCAAATAATGATTAAATCTATTTGTTTCACTCTCTGGTGTTCTGCAGTTCATTCACTGTAACTCACTCTAATTTAAAGCCTAACTCAGAGATGTGATCGATGTTGGTATGAATAACCAAACCAGAGTTATATGTATTAGTGTTTCCCCTACCATTGTCTTGGAGGGGCGCGCCCCGCCAACGGAGCCCCGCGCCCCTCCTGAAACGCAAGGTGTTTAGCAAAAATAATTATAATTTCTTTATAATATATATATAGCACCATACTGCAACTCATCTCTATCTACTGTCACTTTTCACATTGAACATGTGCTCTTTTATTAAATAAACTGAACATTCATTTGAAGTTGTGAGTTTAGTGTGTTTGACCCTAAGAAACACTGATGCACTAATCAATAATCCTCTGCTCCAGCTTTTTTTTATCTGTTTATCTATTGCAACTCACGTTTCGTATTATGTGGTATTTCATACTGGGTAGCAAGGTAGAGTTCGCGGCGGGATGGGCGACATTATAGGCCGTACTCATGGCGACTTCCAAACCCTCTCGGAAACGAAAGCCTCTTTCGCTAACCGTCTCGCCCACGTCCTGCGTAGGCTTTGATTTACTCTCATTTAGGATGCCTGTCGCTGATGGTTTGTCCTTCATTTACGTCTGTAAGAGGGTTCCTCCGCAAACTTTCTGTATTTTCTACTTAATGGAGACTCTATATGGAGGGGATGTCCCAAACTCTGAAGACCGTGTCTGGCTCAGTTGGTATCGGTCGTTTCTGATTGCTTGTGTTGCCCCTCCTCAGTCTTGTAGTGGTCTCTTCAGTCCTGTAGGCCTGGGACAATTCTTGGGACTTATTTATTTTTTTTTGCATGTGGAAAATTGTACATACTATGCACTTCAGGGAACCTCCTTTTTGTGGTCCTATGGTGCTTTGTGACTGGTACAGTGACTTATCTCCCAAACTAAAAGTATTATTTACTTTGAATAGTAATATACATATGTGTTTGGGTCTTTGCGTGTGTCATAATTGTAAGTAATATTGCCTCCGGCCTGGCCGTGGAGCTTTATGTTTGTCTTAATGGTGACTTCCACCCCCCCCCCCCCC